CTTGAATGCTGCTATTGTGCTTGCACCCACTACCTCTTCTGGCAGTGTGTGCCAGAAACTTACCACCCTTTGTGTGAAAAATTTGCCTGGCATATCTCTTTTAAACTAGCCCCCTGCACCTTGAGATAACAAGGTGTAGAGCTGGATGAACACAGCAGGCCAAGCAGTATATAGGAGCAGGAAGGCTGACGTTTCGGGCCTAGACCCTTCATCAGAAATGGGGGAGAGGAAGGGGATTCTGAAATAAATAGGGAGAGAGGGGGAGGCGGATAGAAGATGGATAGAGAGAAGATAGGTGGAGAGGAGACAGACAGGTCAAAGAGGCGGGGATGGAACCAGTAAAGGTGAGTGTAGGTGGTGAGGTAGGGAGGAGATAGGTCAGTCCAGGGAGGACGGACAGGTCAAGGGGGCGGGATGAGGTTAGTAGGTAGGAAATGGGTGTGCGGCTTGAGGTGGGAGGAGGGGATAGGTGGGAGGAAGAACAGGTTAGGGAGGCGGGGACAAGCTGGACTGGTTTTGGGATGCGGTAGGGGGAGGGGAGATTTTGAAGCTTGTGAAATCCACATTGATAGCATTGGGCTGCAGGGTTCCCAAGCGGAATATGAGTTGCTGTTCCTGCAACCTTCGGGTGGCATCGTTGTGGCACTGCAGGAGGCCCAGGATGGACATGTCGTCTGAGGAATGGGAGGGGGAGTTGAAATGGTTCGCGACTGGGAGGTGCAGTTGTTTATTGCGAACCGAGTGTAGGTGTTCTGCAAAGCGGTCCCCGAGCCTCCGCTTGGTTTCCCCGATGTAGAGGAGGCCACAACGGGTACAGCGAATGCATTATACCACATTAGCAGATGTGCAGGTGAACATCTGCTTGATGTGGAAAGTCTTCTTGGGGCCTGGGATGGTGGTGAGGGAGGAGGTGTGGGGGCAGGTGTAGCACTTCCTGCGGTTGCAGGGAAAAGTGCCGGGTGTGATGGGGCTGGAGGGGAGTGTGGAGCAGACGAGGGAGTCACGGAGAGAGTGGTCCTTCCGGAAAGCAGATAAGGGTGGGGAGGGAAAAATGTCTTTGGTGGTGGGGTCGGATTGCAGATGGCGGAAGTGTCGGAGGATGATGTGTTGGATCCGGAGATTGGTGGGGTGGTACGTGAGGACAAGGGGGATTCCTTTTTGGTTGTTATTGCGGGGAGGGGGTATGAGGGATGAGTTGCGGGAAATGCGGGAGACAGGTGGAGGGCGTTCTCGACCACTGAGGGGGGGCAGTTGCGGTCCTTGAAAAACGAGGACATCTGAGATGTACGGGAGTGGAATGCCTCATCCTGGGAGCAGATGCGGCGGAGGCGAAGGAATTGGGAATAGGGGATAGCATTTTTGCAGGAAGGTGGGTGGGAGGAGGTGTATTCTCGGTAGCTGTGGGAGTCGGTGGGCTTGAAATCGATATTGGTTTCTAGGTGGTTTCCCGAGATGGAGACAGAGAGGTCCAGGAAGGTGAGAGAGGTGTTAGAGATGGTCCAGGTGAACTTAAGGTTGGGGTGGAAGGTGTTGGTGAAGTGCTACACCTGCCCCCACACCTCCTCCCTCACCCCCATCCCAGGCCCCAAGAAGACTTTCCACATCAAGCAAATGTTCACCTGCACATCTGCCAATGTGGTATACTGCATCCGCTGCACCCGTTGTGGCCTCGTCTACATCGGGGAAACCAAGTGGATGCTTGGGCACCACTTTGCAGAACACCTACGCTCGGTTCGCAATAAACAACTGCACTTCCCAGTCGCGAACCATTTCAACTCCCCCTCCCATTCCTCAGACGACATGTCCATCCTGGGCCTCCTGCAGCGCCACAACGATGCCACCTGAAGGTTGCAGGAACAGCAACTCATATTCCGCTTGGGAACCCAGCAGCCCGATGGTATCAATGTGGACTTCACAAGCTTCAAAATCTCCCCTCCCCCTACCACATCCCAAAACCAGTCCAGCTTGTCCCCGCCTCCCTAACCTGTCCTTCCTCCCACCTATCCCCTCCTCCCACCTCAAGCCCCACCCCCATTTCCTACCTTACGACCTCATCCCAGCCCCTTGACTTGTCCGTCCTCCCTGGACTTACCTATCCCCTCCCTAATTCCCCACCTACACTCACCTTTACTGGCTCCATCCCTGCCTCTTTGACCTGTCTGTCTCCTCTCCACCTATCTTCTCCTCTATCCATCTTCTATCCTTTTCCCCCTCTCCCTATTTATTTCAGAACCCCCTTCCCCTTCCCCGATTTCTGAAGAAGGGTCTAGGCCCGAAACGTCAGCTTTCCTGCTCCTTTGATGCTGCTTGGCCTGCTGTGTTCATCCAGCTCTGCACCTTGTTATCTCTGAACTCCATCTGCCATTTTTCTGCCCATACGTCCAATTAACCTATATCCTGCTATATCCTCTGACTATCCTCCTCCCTATTCGCAACTACATCAATCTTTGTATCGTCTGCAAACTTACTAATTAGACCAGCTACATTTTCCTCCAAATCATTTATGTAGACCATGAACAGCAAAAGTGCCAGCACTGATCCCAGTAAAACATCACTAGTCACAACCCTCCATTCTGAAAAGCCTCCTTCCATCGCTACCCTCTGTCTCCTATGACTAAGCCAGTTCTGTATCCATCTTAGCAGCTCACCCCTGATACCATGTGACTTCACCTTTTGTACCAGTCTGTCATGAGGGACCTTGTCAAAGGCTTTACTGAAGTCCATGTAGACAACATTAACCGCTTTTCCCTCTGGAATCATCTTCATCACCTCTTGAAAAAATGTGATTAAATTAGTGAGGCATGACCTCCCCTGCACAAAACCATGCTGTCTATTGCTCATCAGACAATTTGCTTCTAAATGCATACAGATCTTGTCCCTGAGAATCTTTTCAAATAATGTCTCTACCATCGACAAGATACTCACATGCCTGTAATTTCCTGGATTATCCCTGTCACCCTTTTTAAACAATGGGACAACGCTCGCTATTCTCCAGTCCTCTGGGACCTCACCTGTGACCAAAGAGGATACAAAGATGTCTGTCAGTGCTCCAGCAATTTGTTCTCTTGCTTTCCTCAATATTCTGGGATAGATCCCATCAGGATTCGAGGACTTATCTACCTTAATACTTTTCAAGATGGACAACACCTCTTCCTTTTTAACAGCATCTTGGCTTAGAAATTTGACACTCCATTCCCTGAAATCATCCTCCACTGATTCATTCTCTTTGGTGAATACTGGCACAAAATATTCATTTAAGACCTCCTCTACCCCTTCTGGCTCCACACAGCTTCCCTCCTTTGTCCTTGAGTGGGCCAACCCTTTTCCTGGCTACCCTCTTGCTTTTTATGTATGTATAAAAGGCCTTGGGATTCTCCTTAATCCTGTTTGCTAATGAGTTTCCATGACCACTTTGTTAAGGAGTGTTAAGGTAAAGTATACAGTTCCTGACCCTGAACAGCATTGATGTACAGAGGGAGCTTGGACTTCAAGTCCATAGTTTCCTGAAAGTGGCCCTGCAAGTGGATAGAGTGGTAAAGAAGGCATATGGTATGCTTGCCTTTAGTGGTCAGGGAATTGAGTACAAGAGTCAGGATGTCATGTTGCAGTTTTATAAGACTTTGGTTAGGCCACACTTAGAGTATTGTACTAAATAAAAACCAAAAGAACTGTGGGTGCTGCAAATAGTAACAAAAACAGAAGTTTCTCGAAAAGCTCCACCAGTCTGGCGCATTTGTGGAAAAAAATCAGGTCCCTGAGGAAGGGTCACTGGACCTGAAATGTTAACTCTGATTTTTCTTCACAGATGCTGCCAAACCTGCTGAGCTTTTCCAGCTACTTCTACTTTAGGTAAGCCTATACCAAATGGACTGCAGTGGTTTAAGAAGTCAGCACACCACCAACTTCTCAAGGGCATCTGGAATGGGCTATAAGTGCTGGCTCAACCAGCAACATTCACAATGAATGAGCAAAATAAAAGCGATGATATTATGAACATGTGTCTTAAAGGCATACTTATACTTTGATGATGGTCATAATACCAGCCATATAAATGTGGTGCATACCAGACACTGATCAGTGGCTGGATATTCTATTTATTCAAAATAAATGGTTTTGCAATTCTATCAGTTACATAAGTTTTGATCACATTGTCATTCACATATGCTGTCAAAAGTTAACATGCTTTGTTTTTATTGGTTTTTCATTCATAATTTTACAAATTTATTTTCAAGCTTTTTAAAATCAGTTTTCACATAATTGTACATCATGTGGACATATAATCAAGGTGCGATTAATTACTTGCTTAGATGTGTGCAGCTAGAACACAACTTAAGAAGTTGACACTATTCTGTGTAAAGCAGTCTTTTAAGTTGGTTAACATAACATGAGTTCTGGGAGGGAAAATATTGCCCTGGTGGATTCCATCCTGAACCTCTGACACAGAGGTTGAAGTGCGAAGAACTCATCTTCATGGACTATCATTCTGTTCTCTATAGACCAGCAAACAAGTCATAGTACAGTATTAGTACTGAAACAGGACATCTTGGGTTTTATGGTAAAGTGATAGAAGAATTAATTCCAATTGAGAATAGTTTGAAGCTCAATAGGAAAGCTGATATGATGGAACCATACGCTGGTTTTTTTGATTGAAAGAACTGATCTATTTCATAAAATCAAATGGTTGGTAAAATACAAAGATAGAATTCAATAGTCGAGTTACATTTTGTCAGATAGTAATATGAAAAGAAATTATAAGAATCACATGTTGATTTGTGCACCCAGATCTCCAAATATGCCCACATGAAGTGAAATTCTATGTCAACTATACTGATTATCTGAATTTAGTCTTTGTAAGAGAATGCTTACCTTTGAAAAATGAGAAAAAAATGTTACTAGGTCAGGAATCTAATTTTTATCTCCATCTTATTAATTCCAGTAGATCAGAGAAATATCTAATAATCTGATTACATGTTATGCGACCTTCTGTTCTTGCTTTTCAGGAATGTAAAAAATTGTTAGCAGAATATCGCAAATATTTTCAGAGTACTAAGAAGCAAACAACTGAAACAGTGCGAGATACTCCATTTGATGTGTCAGAAATGTACATATTTGGTAAACTTGATGTCTTCTGCAAGAGACTAGAAAAGGTAAAATGAAATCCAGAAAAAGTGTTACAGTTATGGTCTTGGTTTCTATCCAGCAGCTGTACTGTTTTTAACCACAATCATACAATAAGAAAAACTTCTAGTTAAAGGAATTAGAGTGATATGAATTCACAAGAAGATTAAAGAAAGCTAATTTAAGTGACATCTTAAAGGAAATGATAAAGACATCTTAAACTTCCTGCAGCAGAATTGGCTGCCTGTTGAAGCCTTGCCATAGGCTGTCCCATTCTCCACAAACCTTTTTTCGCATTGATTCCTTACTGTGTTAATGTCTGTCCTACAGGAGGTCAGAATTGATCGTTAAAGAGTTTACAGTGTCTAACATAAAGAGTCTAACATTAACTTAGAGGATTCACTGGCTGGCTGAAAACAGGGATTATTAATGGAGTGTTAATGGATGATGGTTTATATTTTGGTGATTATGACAGGGAATAAACATTGAAAGTCATTGATTTGCTTTTAGTTTAGCATAATCATGGATTAATTTTTATGTTCAGAAAACACAGAAATTGAAAGTTTTTTAGGGTAATTTTGTAAGACCTGATTAGTGTCAGAAGCAAATACAGTTTCTTTCTAAGAAAGGATAACAGGACAGTCAGGGAAAGTTCAGTGATCTTGATGTAAAAGTTTAGCTTGAGTGTTATTTTTAAAATTGGCAGATTATTAAAAGACTGAATAAGTCTAAGCTTTCAATTTCATGTGTATTCATGTAAGAAAACTTCTCAATTCACAGGATAGGACTGTGGAGAACTTAAAGATTTGATAGAGAAAGAAGACCTCTCTGAATTTTGGATCACTTTTGTTTCCCTATAAAGGGCCCCCACAGGTTGAGTCACTTGCCCTACCACTCCAAAGGTGCTCACAGCCATCTTCTTTGCTATTGCATATTTTTGATTTCCTTCACTTCCAGCCTCCACCTGTACATGTTGGTGAAACCTCAAACATGCAGATCTTTCTAGTAGCCCACCCGTGAGCCCACCACATAAGCTCACACAAGGCCATGTTTTACCTCCCCAGCCCCTGGCATATGAAATGACCATGCTAGGTGTGGTGTCATATATTGTAGCCTCCTTTAAGCCAGATATCTCCTGACTGTGGATGAAGTCCTCCCTCCAATGTTATACCATTCTCATCCATGCTTTACTGTATCACCTCCCTTACAGATACTGTTGTCCTCAATCACAATTGTTGTCCCTCTTTTACCCCAAGCTTGTTTCCCTCAATCCTGAAGAATGAGTTCCTGAGTCTCCCTCCCATGGTAGAGGCCCCTTGTTCAGCATGCCCTCCCATCCCAATTTATGTGAATAGACCCAACAGACTGGCCATGTCCCAATATTTTGACTAGCTTCATTGGACAACTCCAGATCAGAAGTATCCAGACCCCTGACTCATGCCTATACACATCTTGACTGCGTTAGCCCTGCTCCCAAACCAGACCAGCCGCTATGGAGCCACAAGACTGACAGTGACTCACTCCTCAAACTGTAGAGGCATAAAACCTCTGAGAAAGAACACGCTGGCTGGATGCCTCACTGTGGCCAATCCCCTTGATTGGTATTGGAACTTGCCATTTACTGTGCCGGAGCACCCAGAAGGATGGTTTTCTGCATAACTTTGATGAAGACAACTCTCCTAAGACTTTGAGATGTGCTGTCTGCTTGCTGTGATTGCAGCATGTTTTACCACTTAAGCTGCTGGGTCAGTGGTTAGCACTGCTGCCTCAGCACCAGGGACCCAGGTTTGTTTCCACCCTTGGGTGACTGTCTGTGTTGAGTTTGCACATTCTCCCTGTGTCTGTGTGGGTTTCCTCTGGGTGCTTCAGTTTCCTCCCACAGTCCAAAGATGTGTAGGTTAGGTGGACTGGTCATGCTAAATTGCCCATAGCTTTCAGGGATGTGTAGGTTACGTAGGTTAACCATAGGAAATGCAAGGTTTCAGGGGTGGGTCTGGGTGTGATGCTCATCAGAGGGCTGGTGTGTCCTCAATTGGCTGAATGGCCTGTTTCCACACTGTAGGGATTCTATGTGAGATTGCAGACGGCATGATGCCAGCCTTTCTGACTGAGAACTACTCACCAGCGAAGCAAGTTTCCTGGTTGCATTATTGTGCTAATTAGCACGGCAAGGTAAGGCATGGATGCTGTCAGCATGCAAGTAGATGCTAGGTGAGTGAGCACTAAAGAAGCAAACAAGAATCCTGGGATGCCCTGGTCCAATCTGTGTCATTGTAGCATCTCCTTGAAGCAGCCTTTCAACACTAGATACAATTGCTCCCTGAATGGAACTCTTGTGCTTCCTGAGCAGCCTGCCAGTGGATCAGAAAAGTGACATGATGTTCATGAGGGGTTGGCAAATGTCAAATGCCAACATTCAGGTAGGTGCGTATGGCTCCTACCTAAATTATGCCTTGAAATACTAGTTGGTGCAGGAGGGAATGTTTCAGATTCTTAGATCAAAGAGATTGTTTCTGGGGAAGGTGGTATCTGTACAAGTTCTGCATCTGGACTAGAATGGGACCAACATCCTTATGCATGGGTTTGCTAGTGCTGTTGGAAGGAATTTAAAATAGTTCAACAAGGGGAGGGGGCAAAGAGTATTAGCATAATAGGGAGACTACATATTTTAATAAAGGAACAAAGGCAGAGGGAGTTCACCCATGTTGAATTTCAGGGGAGTATGGCAAGGCCATGTGAACTTTAATGCTTGGAGTATTATAGGTGAGACAGATGTGACGATGCTATGGCTTTAAAAGGTGTGTTTTGTCCTGGTTTCTTTTAGAGAAAGATGGGGGACAGGTGACGAGTGTACTATGAGAAGATAATCAACTTGTGAGGCCTTGGGTTTTTAAGTTGGAACAACAGAAGCAACCTGAGTGCATGTGGTCAAGCTCTCAAAGATCAAAGATTTTTAGTTACGTTTCAGCAGGAGTTGCTGGAGCCTTGAGGAAGTAGAAACTATTTTTTCCTCTCTCTTGGTTACAGCTAGGAGCTGGGGTTTCTGTTCCTACTGACCATAAGACCATAAGTCATAGGAGCAGAAATTAGGCCATTCAGTCCATCGAGTCTGCTCTGCCATTCAATCATGGCTGATAAGTTTCTCAACCCCATTCTCCCACTTTCTCCCCGTAACCCTTGATCCCCATGACAGTCAAGAACCTATCTATCTCAATCATAAATATACTCAATGACCTGGCCTTCACAGTATTCTGTGGCAGTGAATTCCATAGATTCACCACTCTCTGGCTGAAGAAGTTTCTCCTTATTTCCGATCTAAAAGGTCTTCCTTTTAAGGGTTATGGTGTGCGGGTGGTTAAGTGGAGGTGAGTGTCAAAAAGATCAGCCATGATCTTATTGAATGGCGAGGCAGGCTTGAGGGGCAGGATGTCCTACTCCTGCTCCTAGTTCTTATGTTCTTATGTACTCTCAGGCTGTGCCCTTGGATCCTAGTCTCTCCTACCAATGAAAACATCTTCCCAACATCCACTCTGTCCAGGCCTTTCACTATTCTGTAAGTTTCAATTAGATCCCCCCTCGACCTTCTAAAGTCCATCGAGTATAGACCCAGAGACCTCAAACGTTCCTTCATATGTTAAGCTTTTAATTCCTGGGACATTTCTCATGAACCTCCTCTGAACCTGCTCCAGGGCCGATACAACTTTCCTGAGATATGGGGCCCAAAACTGCACACAGTACTCCAAATGTGGCTTGACCAGAGCGTTATAGAACCTTAGAAGTACATCCCTGCAAATAAATGCCAAAGTTGCATTTGCCTTCCTAACTACTGACTCAACCTGCAAGTTTACATTGAGAGAATCCTGAACTACGACTCCCAAGTCTCTTTGCACTTCAGACTTCTGAATTTTCTCCCCATTTAGAAAATAGTCCATACCTCTTATTCTTCTTACCTCACACTTTCCCATGTTGTACTCCATCTGCCACTTCTTTGCCCACTCTCCTGGCCTGTCCAAATCCTTCTGCAGCCTTCCTGCATCCTCAATACTACCTGTCCCTCTACCTAACTTTGTATCAGGTGTTACATGTGGGTGTTACATGTGAGAAAATCTGATTTCTGAATGTACCTTTTTGCCAAGGGGTGTGTTTATGGAATGTTACTGTATTTGAACAGATATTTAGTAGTAGTTACTCTTCTATTATTTTGTTAAGTTTTCCAGTAGAATTAAGTTATTCTAAGTTCTTTTTACTTTTGGTATGGTTTAACTATAGTCTTTGAATACATTGTGTTTCGCTTAAAGTCAAGATGTTTGACCAGTCGAATTGCATCTGGAAGACAACACTTTACGTTTGCCTTTTAATTAAGAAAAAGTTAGGATTGGGGCTAACTTCTTAAATTATTTTGAGTGGGTCTGGTCAGGTCCAAAACAAATTGGGGGCTCTTCTGGGATCAGAATTTCTAATTCCAGTTTGGGTTTAGGATTATTGGACTCAAAGGCAGCAAATGGTAAGTGTTGGTGTCTTTTGTTTCAGGTGTTGAATTTAGTTGATGTAAACAGGATATGCCTTGGGTAGTTATAGCTGTTTCAGTCACTAAGGGTTTCCTGGGGGTGCAAGAAATCGCCTTAGGAGTTTTACAGAAAGTAAGCAAGGCAAAACTTTTAGAATTGGCAGATCAGCTGGAGTTAGGGGTGCCTTTCAAAATGGGAGGTAATTGCAGCAATAGCTTGACATTTACAATTGATGGAGATGCCATCAGAATCTTTGGAAATGGCTAAAATTCAAGTTCAAATGAAGCAGCTTGAATTAGAGGCAAAAGTAAAGAAAAGAATAGCCCTAGCAAAAGAAAAGCAGAAAGAGAGGTAGTTTGCACTTCAGACGTTGGCAATTAGAGAGGAAAGTTGACTTAAAACTGCGGAGGTAAAGGTAGAAGGTATGCTTAGTGAGGAAGATAGTGACGATGAGCAAACCTATCATAACTAAAGACCCAGTGGGGATCTGTTTAAGTATGTCCAAGCACTGTCTATGTTTG